GCCGGTGCGAGGGCCACCGGGAGACGTGCGGTGTGGACCCCAGAGGAGTTTTTCGACGTAAATGTATTTTGCACCCTGTTTTTTCCCCAATTTTTTCTCTTATTCTCCTGGACAGATATAAGCAAGAAGAGGTGGTCTGAGATTAGTTCATTGTTTTTTTTTTTTTTTTTTGTGTGTGTGTGTGTGGGAGAGAAGGGGGGAGGTTTTTTGACGACCTCTGCCCGGACTAGAGACGAGCGGAATGTTTTGAACCGCACGGTGAGGCACTGTTTGGCTTCTTTCACACACTCTTATCCTTCTCACCCCAAAACCGGGGGCTAAACGGGGAGTTTGAGTCGAAGGAAACCGTCACGGTCAATGAGTGAATCGGAGAATTACTGCCGCTTCCAGAAGGAGGTGAACAAATTTTTTGATGTGCTCCGCGAACGAACGCTGCGGGACCACCCGCAAGAATTATGTGAATATTTGATGGAGAACGTCAACAAAGTTGCAGCGGAATTGAAGGAGGAAGTTTGCGAACGCATCCCCGATGCCGTCTCACCGGAATTGGGAGTTCGGCCCCTCACCATCGTGGTACTCGGTGCAAGCGGGGACTTGGCCAAAAAGAAGACCTTTCCGGCGCTTTTTCAGTTGTACTGCAACGGCATGCTACCTCGGGATGTCAACATTCTCGGGTATGCCCGCTCCACAATGGAGGATGTGGAAAAGTGGAAAAAGGACACGCTTGCCGGATTCTTTACTCGTCTGGATGAGCGCGGATGTCATGTGGGTAACTTTTTGAGACGGATCAGTTACATGACCGGGTCGTATGATCGCGAAGAGGACTTTGCACGCCCGAACGAGAGGATTCTTCAGATGGAAGAGGCCTTCCAGGGGCCGGAAAAGGGGGGAAATCGCCTTTTTTACCTTGCGCTGCCACCTTCCGTTTTTGTGGGCGTTTGCCGAGGTCTCAGCAAAGGGGCGATGCAAAAGCCGGAATTGGGTTGGGTCCGTCTCATTGTTGAGAAGCCCTTTGGCCGGGACACGGAGACCTCCGAGCAGCTCTTAAATCAGCTGGAGCCTCTCTTCAATGAACGCCAGGTATTCCGCATTGACCACTACTTGGGGAAGGAAATGGTGCAGAATATTATTGTCACTCGTTTTGCTAACCGCGTTTTTAGCGCGCTGTGGAACAGTAACAGCATTGCATGCGTCCAAATTACATTCAAGGAGAAAATCGGCACGGCGGGACGTGGTGGGTACTTTGACAGTATTGGAATCATCCGTGACGTGATCCAGAACCACCTCACACAGATTCTTTCTTTATTGACGATGGAAAAGCCGCGTTCACTCAGTGCTGAGGACATCCGTGATGAAAAGGTCCAGGTTCTCAGACAGGTGGTCCCTGCGAACCCAGCAGAGTGTGTGCTGGGTCAGTACACGGCGTCCGCAGATGGTTCCACACCTGGCTACCTTGACGGCCCCTCTGTACCGAAGGGCAGCCGTTGCCCCACCTTTGCTGTGCTTCGACTGCACGTGAAAAATGACAGGTGGCACGGTGTCCCTTTTATCATCCGGGCCGGAAAAGGCACTCGAAGTGCGTCTGCTTGATATTCGTATTCAGTTCAAGGACGAAATACGTCCCTTCGGTGAAAGCACGCAGCGCAATGAACTTGTGATCCGCGCCCAGCCGTTGGAGGCGATGTATCTGAAACTCACTGCAAAGAAACCGGGGTTGCTGAACGATACTCATCAGACGGAACTTGACCTCACGTACGAGCGGCGGTACGACGTTACACTTCCGGATGCGTATGAGAGTCTTATTTACGAAGCTCTTCTCGGGAACTCGACCAACTTTGTTTGTGTAGACGACTTGGACGCTGCATGGCGGATTTACACACCGCTTCTCCACGCCATTGATCGCGGGGAGGTGAAGGTACTGCCTTACGCGGCGGGTTCGTGCGGGCCAGAGGAAGCCCAGGAGTTTATTCGAAGTTCCGGATATAAGACAACAAATGGGAACGCACATAAGTGCTCGAACGCGTAAAAGGATTTTTTCTTCTTTTATTTTCTTGTGAACATCGAACAACGTTTTACACCTTCAAAGAATGAAGCTGGGAAAAAGAGAGAGGGAGAGAGAGGATGCATGCACGTAAATGCTGAAAAGAAGAAAATTGACACATGCCTGTGTCTTTGTGCGTGGTTTGCTCTTTCTCCTTTTTTATCCTTTTTTTTTTTTTTTTTTTTTTTTTTGTTGTTGTTGTTAGATTTCCTTTTATGGCCCTTTTTTTTTTTTTTTTTTTGTTTGTTTTCTTCTTTGCTTCTCCGTTTCCCATATAATTGATGCAACTTGACGGCGTTGGAACTTGGCGCCGCCTCCAGAAATTGTTTTGGAATCGAGGAGGGTCATGCAGAAGGCATTCATTTGAAGCGTGGACGGCCGATATAACACTTTACTTTTTTTTTTTTTTTTTTTGATATTGAAGGGGAGGCGAGTCACTTCTTTTCTTTATTTTTACCACTTTTTTTTTTTTTTTCCTCTTATATTATTACCAAACAGAGTGGATGTTGACTTATATGCGTTTAGTAATTATCTCGTTGGCCCATTTCTCCTTTTCTTTTTGCTGATGGAGCCCGGCGGTAGTAGAAGAACGTATTCGATGTGTATGAGGAAAGGAAAATGAGGGGCGAATGGGGGAAGGCCGTTTTGGGTTGTGGCTTTTCTAATTATTATTATTATTATTATTTTTAGTGCGCGCGTACGTATTTTTATTTGTATGTATGTATTTGTGTGTGTCCATCCGTGTTTTGTTCCCTCTTCCGCGCCGTATTTTCTCTTTTTACATGTGTGTTTGTGGATGTGCGATTAGTGCGTCTGGCGCACTGGAGGAGGGGGAAGTAAACAACAAGAGGATGCTAAGGAGTGACCGTGAGGAGATGCAAGAAGGGCAGCAGGGCGGCGGAAATGCTGCGTTCATGCCTTTACGGGACGATGATGGCACTGGGACGGCAATGTAAGCGATTGGGGAGGAATTTGGAAACTTATCCGTCTCCACTAGCAGCCCTACGCTGTGACCCATAGACGTGAGTGCTGCAAGGCGCTTCTTTTTTGGTGTACCTGAGGCGGTTGCACGTGGCGGGAGAAAAAGGACCACCTTTTCTCGCTATGTCAGTTGACCTCATCTCGGCCTTTTTGTTTTTCGGAGGCATCACGCTTTTGCTGGGAGTTGCCGACGTGTGTGGATTCGAGCTGCACGGCCTGCACTCATGCTTGCCGGCGGTTGGGGCGTCGTGCGCCTTGAAGGTTTTTCTCACAACTGCACCCGGGGCGCAGCCACAGGGACTGTTAGGCTCATATCTTTTTGCCGCGCTGATTGGCCTTTCTTTTGCTCATACAACGCGGTCTCTTGAGGAGCTCCTTGGCCATTTACTGGCTAGAGTGTTTGCCGTGGTTCTTATTGCCCCTCCTTGACATATTTTTGGTTTGTTTTAACCGTCCAGTGCGGCAACGGCAGTGAGTGCAGTTTTTTACGAATACGGGCAGATGAGGGATAAGGGTCACATTTTTATTTTGTTCCCTGTGTTGCTTGGCGTGAACATTGTATTTGTCCCCTCATGGCTGTTGAAGAATCTTTTTCCATGGCGACCAGCGTATCCCGTTTGGTGGTGAATCCCATTATTCAAACAGCGTCTTTTTCCTTATTACTAACTTGTGTTCGCTTTTTTGTTTTTGTGATGCATTTTAAATGTAATTTGTTGTTCCCGTTGCCACGCGTGGCTGAGTGCGCGTATTCTTTGTGTGTGTATGTGTGTGCCGCAACATCTTTATTTTTCTGTTGCTGTCGGGATAAAAAATAATTTCGGAGTGTTTTTGTGTTTGTGCACACTCAGTGATCCGTTTCCGCGTGGGTCTTTTGCTCATCGTGTGGTACCGATGTTTTTGTTTGTTTGCTTGTTTGGGGGGATACAATGTAAAATGTGTTACGACAGGAGGGGTGGACGCAGTGCAGTTTGCACGAGTTTCTCTTTGGACACGTGAGGGCGCGAGGAACGGGAGGCGCGGCGTTTACTCACACCCAACACTTCAGCGGGTACTCTTATCCATGATTCTATTTTTGTTTGTGTGCTCTCCGTGCCCTTATGCGAATCTCGTTTTTGTGTTTTTTGTTGTTTCATTTTGGCTTGCCGCCTTTGCGGACAGAGTAGCGTATTGTTTTGTGAAGGCGAAGGAAAGAAACGGGAAAATGAAACACCAAAGAATGATTTACATGGTTTCCATGGCATTAGCTGTTATTATTGCCACACCCCTTGTTTCGAGTGACGACACAAATAGTACTGAAGTGTTTGCTGCTGCTAGTTGTTCTCTTGATCACATTTCCGGTGCCAGTGACAGCTATTCAAAATCAGAAGAGGCTGAGCAACTAAAGGAATTGCCCTGTCGTCCTTTTACAGACGAGGAGTGCGTGCAGAGGTATGGCGATGTGGCAGTCTTTAATAACGACCATCAACGATGTGTCTGGGGGTTGCCATCTGGTGTGAAGGCCTCAGAATTGCAACTAATTTCGAATTCCACCGTTGACGAGGATCGGTGTGCTTTTGTGCGGTCGCTTAACGAGATGCTCTTGGCGTGGCTAACAGAAACTGAGCTAATTACTATGCCTTTGGCCGATGCCGGTTTAACGGGGATACCGGTTCGTTGCGGTGGTGTTGATTTGCGTGCATGGACTGCATACCATACAGTTTACATAAATTCTTCTTCTGTATCTGAGAGAGTCAGTGATGTGCCCTTTACTGATGAGGGAATACGCAGTGAACAACCTGCACAGCCAACCCCTGTGTGGGCTAGGATCACCTTAATTTTTCTCAGTTTTCTGGGTGCTGCCTGTGTGGTCGAAGCCGCTGTCATCATACGGAGGTCCTTTTTAAAGCGTAAAACAGAGCTTTCGCAGACTGACGCTTCCGGAGACTCAGCGGCGGCCTTTGAGGAAAAGGTCCGTTCTACAGTGGCCTCCATCGCGTCTTCTTTTCGAAAAAGGGCGCCTGACGCTTCACCCAGAGCACTGTCACGGTTTTCCTCGCCTTTATCGGCTAGCGAGGGTACGCAGCGACCCGGTTTTCGCTTGGATGTCTCGGTGGAACCAAGAGCTTCTCTGAGTGGTTCCTTCTCCATTTTGGAGTCTCCTTGAGGTGTGGTTGTGGATGTTGGTGCAGTGAAATTGAGACAAGTGTGTCCGCGCGCCTGCGCCTGCCCCTGGATTTATTTTTTTATTTATTTTTTTGACTTTTTAAATTTTGCAAGTGAAATAACATGCCTAGTTTTATCCACTCTTCTGGCAATTAGAAAGATGGAATCGTGTGCACTGGTCAGGTCGAACTTGTTGTTGTTGTGTGTGTATGAGTTTTAGTTATTCAAAAAAAAAAAAAAAAAAAATGAGAGGGGAAAATAATGAAAGGATATATATATATATATTCTGTTGGTACAGTAATTACTGTATGGCGGTGGCAACAGTAATAAATGTGTGTTTGTCTCTTTTTTACAATTTATCAAGACATCCCTAAACTTCTTTTTTTCTTTTTTTGTTAAAATTTGGGATGAGGGATTGAAGGGAAAGACAGCGCGGGAAAACTCTTTACCGTAACAAAAACATAGTGCGCATATATATATATATTACGTTTTCTCGATTTTTGTTTGTATTGCTGTGTGAATTGCGGTGGTGCGTTGAGGAAAGAAGCGCCGTCAGTGAAATCCCTCCCCATGTTTCCCCGCAACAATTTGTTAAATGTGTCTTTCAATTTTTTTTTTTTGGGTTGTTCTTTCTTTCTTTTTTTTTTTTTTTTTTTTTTTCTTTTTTTTTGGTGGTTTATGGGAGGAACGGACTTTTTGCGCCGAAGACAAACTAGTAGTTTTCACACTCAGGCATATACTGCGTGTAATTGGAAGATGCGGGGCATTGGTTCCTCTAGGAATGATAGGGATTTAGGTGTGGATTCATTGAACCCTCACGGTAGCGATGATAGGCCCTCGATGCAATCACGGCACTTGTTGCTCCCAAACGAGGTCACATTTCTCTCTCGAGCCAATTCCACTCTTATCAGCCTAAATGCACAAGATGCCGAGTTGCGCGAGAACGTTTCTCATGCTGGAGGTGATGCGCTTTACGGAGCCCCTGCGAACGAGAGGTCAAGCTCATCTTGTTCATTGAAGGCGATTTTAGGGCTATGGCCGCCAATACGTAAATTTCCTCGGTGGTATTGGTCTAGACTTACAGGCTACGATCAGTCTAAGAGCGTGTATGGCTTCTTTCCGTCATGGGATTTATTGATAACTTTTGCTTTTGTTTGCGTTTCGATGCTTGTAATGGCTCTTATTGAGTTTTACTTTCTTCATAAATACGCGATTCACCTGATCCTATTTATTCCCACCTTTGGCGCTAGTGCAACCATTCTTTTTGCTGTTCCTGGAGCGCATGTGGCACAACCCCGGGCCTTGTTTTTTTCCCACATCTCAGCAGCAATTTTAGGCGTTTCCGCTGTGAATGCTTTTCAGTTCGTGCCTGAAAAAACGTTTGGGCTCAAATGTGTAGCGGCTTTGGTGGTCGGTCTACACCTTGTTCTTATGTGCCTAACAAACACAGCTCATCCTCCTGCTAGCGGAACGTGCATCTCGGCCGTCCTTGCGCCACTCAATGGATATTATCACGATCAAGGCTATCTATTTCTCGTTTTCCCCGTTCTTGTTGGTTGTATGCTCTTGTTTTTATTTGCGTGGATACTGAACAACATGCTGGAGAGTCGTTCTCCATACCCCAAGTACTGGTTCTAGTTCTAGGCACAATGACGTTTTCAGCGATTGCATTTACGACTACGAATTATTTTTTCTTTTTTATCTATGCTTGGGAGCTTGTGAAGAGAATGATCGCGGGGTAATGCTGGCTGCCGTAATTATTATTATTATTATTATTATTATTATTATTATATCTTGATAAGACGAATATACATTTCTTTACGACACTTTCCCCTATTTTATGATTGTTCGGAAGACCATGACATTAGGGGGGATCTGGGAACCCATAATGGCAGGACGAAATTTTTATTTATTATTTTGCCACCCACCCATACACTCTCTTTGATTCCCACCTCGCGGCGGTTTTTTGTGGCTGGAAGAGCCCAAATTCTGCCACTTGGTAAGTAATAATATTTCCAATATTAACAAAGTGCAACGTGTCGCGAGAATGGCTATCGGAATATATTTACTTGGAGCAAACATCGAGGAAGTGGCGAACCCACACTCCCACTCCATTCACTACTTCTCATTCCCGTCTTGTGTGAATCCTATTGACAACCGCAAGGTCCGGTCAGCGGCCCAAGTGAATATTCTCTTCTGTATTTTGGGAATTGGACATCGCTTGTCCTTTCTATGATCGTTTATTTTTAGAGTTTCTTGAGGCTGCAAACACCGTAATCATCTTCCAGAGAGGAACGTGATATTATTACTTTTTTTTTTTTTTTTTTTTCCTAGTTGTTGGTGGGGAATAACTTCTTTTTGTTGTTGTTGTTGTTTTTACTCAGGAAGCGAGGGACGAAGTCAAAGAAGCCACTGCATGGAGCTTTCTGTCAGACTTTTTCTTGAGAGCGCACCGAAGAGGCAACGGTACCTTCGTGCGGCACACATTCTTTTTGGTTTCAGTGAGAGTGGAAAATTTTCTCCGGAAACACGTCGCCAATTGTTGTCTGCCGCAGTGGGGTATCTTAAGAATGGCTTGAGTGTGTATGACATTCAACTATTTCGTCGTTCTTGTGAGGAGCATTCTGACTGGTTGCCGGAGGATTTGATGGTTTACGAAGAGGAAGAAGCTGCAGTGGGTGCACGTGCAGAAGTAGCTCTGCAGTCTGCCCTATCGTGTTTGGAGAGGCTGCATGTTGAGGATGGAGTCGGCAAATCTAATTCAAACCGTCTTTTGGCAATGAAAAGAGGTCGATTGGAGTCAACGGAATTACGAGGACTGCGTGACCAGATGCGAGTGGCGGAGGTTTATGCCGACATCCGTAATTACGAGGCAATGAGTAAGGCTGTGAATCGTCTTTTAGCACTGGCCCATTCCATGCAACAAACCGCTGCTATTTCGAACCGAGCGGATTCTGTTTTTGTGCAGTTAGAAGTCAACAGACGTATTGTGGAGCTGTGGCTAGGTGTAGGTAATTTGGACGCTGTCCGAAGCCTTGTGGGAACCTCTACAGCCACTCTTATGACACAGGCTGCGGAGTGCCTTATGCAGATTCAATTCTGTAGCCCATCGCGTTTGGTGCCACAGCAGAGAACTGTGGAGGATTTGATATCTGAACTGGAAGAATACGCGCTTTTCTTCTCAATTGTGCGAGGTTTATGCATGTTTGAAGATCAAAATTTTTCTGGTTTTGCTCGTGTCTTTACAGGGAGCGGTTTGCGAGGAGCGGGGTGGATCCCCGCCGTTGTGGAGGTCAACACGAAACGGAATTCTTTGCAAGTCCCTGCGTCGCTTGGCGGTGACGTTAATGCTTCCGGGCGATCTTCTGTTATTCACCATCTGCGACACATTGTAGAGGTTTCGATTACTTCGGGACCACAACTTGGGGTTATGGTCTTGTTTTCTGCCATTGCAGCGCTGCCACGTGCGGAGGCGATGGTATTAATTACGCGTGTGGACATCATGTCTCTGTGGGAGGATGTTTCTGATGCTCATGTGCTTGTTCAGGCTTTCCAACTAGCCAAATGGGGCGAATTTTTTCGTGCTGCATCCGTGCTCACTTCGTTATTTTTAAAAACGGATATTTTCGCACACAAACATAGTGATCTTCTTTATCGGTTGGTCATACAGTCGGTTGTCTTGGGGTATGCCAATGCGTTTATGCGTCTTGAATTGAGGAAGGCGGCTGCCAAGTTGTCCATCCCACTTGGAGAGTTACAAGAGATTTTGCAAGAACTTATTCTGGAGGGACGTCTTCAGGCGAGGATGGATTTCGTATCTCAAGTATTAACAAATGCCAGGTTCAATAGGGTTACTGATGGCTATTCTCCACAATCTTTGGTGCTTTTGGACTGTATTTGTCGAAGCGACATGGCTATGGCGGATGTTGAACAGTCACTCCGTATTTTGTCTCTGCATCGACACCATGCGTAGTGTTGAACGGATTTTCATTGTTCCCATTTTTCAACCCTTTGACCTTTTTTTTTTTCCTAATGGCGAAAAGCGAAGAATTTGACCTCACTCATTTGGTTTTTGTTTTTTGAGGCGTATTGGATTTCCGTACTTTTTTTTTGTCGTTTTCTTAACTATGGGTCTTTCATAGAGCGTCCCCCTTTCCTCCGTTTTCTGCAGAAGGCGTTGTAGACCAATGGAGCCATACACAAAGGCACCACGGCATGAGACGAGGGGAACGTCAGTGAACGCCATTTTTGCCTTGACGGGTCCAAGTGCGGGGGTGTTGCATGTCCGACCGGACTCTTTCCTCTCACAAACGAAAAAAGTTGACGACGCCCTTGTGCCTGTCTTGAATGGCTGTTATTTGCAGGTGGCGGTGCCGGCGGATCAGTATTGGCGCGCGGCATCGCAACATCACACACTTTTCCAATCCTCATGCTCTCACGAACAGGTGACAGGAGAGCAAGCAGCGCCTTCCACATCGTTGCTACTGGCTACAGGAGTGCTCAAACGTCCTGACCCAAACAGCATTCCCCTTTCATTCTATGGCACGAGACTGGACGCCATCTCGAATCGACACTATGCTGTTGATCGCGGCGCCCTTGTCATTGCGGCGGATAATCAAAATGGACTTGGCGGGAAGTTGTTTAACACGTTACCTCGACAAGAGCTGCCTTCTTTTGTTGGGGCAATTCCGATGTGCCATCATCGTAACCTCTACGTATTAGTTGATGAACATGCTGCCGTGGATCCGTTTTTTGATATTGACTGTCCTCTGCCACTTCAATGGTTGGAGAAGAACAAGAGAGATGAAATGGGGTTTGCAGGAGAAGCGCAGGTTACAAATTCCTCGTCATTGGCATCTCCGGAAGTGATGGTGGCTTCTGTTGAGCATTGGCTAGGTAAGATTTTGCATTTTTTGCGTGATAAAGTGGAGGCAGCAACAGGAGCTGAACTGCAAGAGTGTGTGGTACTGACAAGCTCAGTGATTGTATACAACGATGTGAACGTGAGCAGGACTGCCGGGCACGGGGATAAGGAGAGGGAAGGGAAACAAAAAGAAGGAATTGATCATTTGCTCAGCTCCCGAGACAGCAAGCTCAGTTTTCATGTTCATTTTCGTTTGAATAACATGGCGTTTGCTAATGTGAGGGAATTGCACAGATTCATGTGGCAACTTCGAGATGAACTTGACGTGTCTCGTTCAACGCACGAAAATTCTGACTTGGCTTGCCTATACCGGATGCTGCGCCAGTGCATTGACTTTGGTGTCTACACGCGTTGGCGGGCGTTTCGGTTGCCTTACAATGTGAAGGCTCCAGTCTCTACCGGTTTTTGCCCCTCAGACGCCGCGGCGCTCGATCTCATCATCTCGGCTCTCTCTCAGTCCTCTTTACGGTCGTTTTCTGTTCCTGATGTTGACGTCGGTGCGGTAGCTCCTTCGGTGGTGCACCTTATAGATCTTTCTTTTTTAGAACACGTGGCCTTGCCTCTACATTGCCAGCAGCAACACCGAATGATCACGAAAATATTTTTCTTGTTTCGATTCTTGCTGCCTCTAATACCCGGCGGGACCACGATTGGCGACAAGGATCTCAATGATTTCTTGTCCCGGTATCTGCCGTGCCCTCCATTTAATGGCGAAGTGAATGCTAAATATCGCCAAGATCTCGCACGTGCTGTTTTTGACATTGGGGTGATTCAACGTGAAAGCAATTCCAGTGGTCTGGATCAAGAGTCTAACGGCGATTTGCTCCGACTAATTGTTATAGATGAGAAAGTGAGTGAACAGCGAAATCAAGAAGCATTTTGTGATCCATTTGTGGTGCCAAGGCCCCCACATCGTGATGGCGTTCGTATACATGTTCACGATAAATATGTTAAAAACCTTGTGGCCGAGGTCTTTCGATGCCTATGCGCCGCATATGATGGCTGTGTTGGAGGTGGTTTTATGGTTGAGGATGCTGATGAGAATGGAAGTAGTCGGTGTCGGGCGACGTCCCCTGTCGTGGGGGATCGGGTGGTTGTTCAGTACCAGGATAACATCCGGGCCTATTATGCACAGCAGAAGCTCTCGAGGTATTGCCTGAATCAAGGTCGCGAGCATCGTGGGACGTACCCGCAGTTGTACTTGACATATGGGTCAATCAAGTTGCGTTGCTACAGCAATGATTGTCATAATCGCTGTCTCGCTGTGAGGTGGTCGAATGACGAGGATGAACAAATGACGGGATCCACGGCGATAGCCCTCCCAGTGGGCGAGCGTGGGTACCCAAAGTACGAGCGACTGACTGAGATACGCCACCTACTTTTTCCGCCGCTTCCTCCAGAGGAGCTGTTGAGACGCTACGGTTCTTTGGCACTTGAGGGAAAGCACTAGCAACGGTAGTAGCAGGAGTAAAAATTGAAGGGCAACAGTGAGAAGAAGATCCGTGAATTTTTTTTTGTTCGTTGACCGGTTTCAACAGTTGAATTGAAACAGGTGGATTTGACTTTTTCACAGTGAAGCAACCGAACATATATATATATATATATAACCGAAAGGAGCTTGTGGCCTTTAATTTTCTCCTCGTGTCTCTTTGTATGGATAGCTTTTCTCTTGACAAGCTGCTGGGGTTATTCTTTTGTGTTGTTATCGTCCTCTTTTTCTTGCCTACGGGAGGAGTTACTCGGCAATATCAGTCATCTCTATCCGCTGTGTGTGTGTGTGTGTGTGTGTGTGTGTGTGATTGGACAGTCGCCACGCTTTACTCTTGTTTTTTTTTTTTTTTTTTTTTTACTATTTTGATGAAATTATCTGTCTTTTTCATTGGATCTCCTTTTATCATTATTATTTTTTTTTTCTCTACTCACCTCTACCTTGAAGATTAATCAACATACGCACACGTTACTTCCACCATGAAGTTTGTTTTGATGGGAGCCCCGGGATGTGGGAAGGGGACACAGAGCCCGTTTATAACTGAGCGCTATGGGGTCTGCCATCTTTCAACTGGCGATATGCTTCGGGATGCCGTTGCAAAGCAGACTACATACGGCAAGAAGTTGAAGGCCGTCATGAACACTGGTGCGCTCGTTTCGGATGATCTTGTGTTTGGCATACTAAAGGAGGGCATAGCAAGGCCCGAGTGTAAATACGGTTACGTTCTCGATGGTTATCCCCGCACGTTACGGCAAGCACAGCTGATGGAAGAAGCGGGAGAGAAAGTTGACAAGGTCATATTATTTGACGCTCCTGACGATGTTATAGTTGCACGTACTAGTGGTCGTTGGATGCACCGTGCGAGCGGTCGCACTTACCACGAGATGTTTCGTCCGCCAAAGGTACACGGCAAGGACGATGTGACGGGTGAACCGCTAATACAGCGCGCTGATGACCGCAAGGAGGTGGTTGAGAAGCGTCTTGAGGCTTATCGTAAGGAAACGGAACCCTTGATCAATTATTATATGAGGAAGGGTTTGTTTGAGCGTATCGATGCCGATCGTTTTGTTGAGGCAGTGCGTCAATCCGTCATGTTTATTTTTGATCCTGTTGCAGTCCGTTTAGGGCTCAAATAGTGCTCTGGAAGAAGCAATGTGTGTTTATATATTTGCATATAATTATACATATATATGTAATATATATGTATAACTAATTTTAAACAGAGGGAATAGCGGATAAATAACTTGGGGAACAGGGGCCGTGGCTCAGTTCCATGAAGAAAATATAAAAAAAAAAAAAAGCAAAACCAGAAAGGAGAGTTTTTTTTTATTGCCTGAAGGTTTTTTTTTTTTTTTTCCTGACGTACTTTTTATTTTTATTTTGGGGGTTTTTTTTTTTTTTTTTTTTTTTTTTTTTTTTTTTTTTTTGCTTTGTATGTATGGGCTAGAAGCTTTGGATGTGGGTGAGTGTTTTTTCGTTTTTGTTTTTTCTGTCTGCCTGCATTATTGTTGTGCATTTGTTGGTGAAATGGCTGGGGGGAAGCAAGAGGTGGTTCACATACATCCGTATATGTATGTGAGGTGGGATATCGGCGAGGCACTCCATCAAGACTGAGATCTTGCGGCTTCACCACATTTTATTTACTTTTTTTTTTGTTGTTTGTTTGTTTTTCTTTGTGTTCGTGCGTGCCTATCCGAGGCATGATTGGATGAGTTATCAACACAAACAATTCCTGTTGATAATGTGCGCCACTGCTACTTTTTTGATGAATACACACTGTTGACGAACGGCGATCATTCTCAGTCATCTCAATGTTGTTTTTTTTTGTTTTTTTTTTCATTGGTCTCTCTGCAGTGAGAACGAGACTTGATGAATTGAGGCGGGGATACTGACTTTAATGATGGTGTGCTCCATTGAGATGCAGTGACTGACACTGCAGTCACAATGATCGCCATAAAGTGAGGGTACCAATTTTCCTGTTGTATTGTCTCTACCTCTCTCCTTTTTTCCCCTCTTCCACTTTTTCTAGTCTGTCTGTACGGGCATTTACAATTTCCCTTTTTCTGAACGCATCTCACCGGTTAGCTAGACCGTGGGAAATTCATCATGCCGGCGAGTGACATATGCAACTTTTTTACTCTTCATCCAATTAGAGCCTTCTCCCCTGTTTCCTTACGCCTCTCCACCCTTTTTGTGTGGCTGTATTTGTGTATGTGTGCGTCTTTTTCTTTCTTTCCGTATATATATTTTGCTGGCGGATTAATCTCGCCTTTTCTGCCTTTGTGGCCGCGATGACGATCTCTTAAATTTGTGCTTTTTTAATTACTTTTTTTTTCTCCAATAAATTCGACGGCCCGCACGCCGACCACCATCGTCGAGCACGTCCGCCCTGCTGAGTGGAGACGTGAAGGAGAGCCCCGGCCCCCAGAGAGGCAGCTGCAGCAGAGGGCGTGAAACACGATCATGTCACGCCTCCGCCCCGGAATGGCGCCGTGGCTCAATCATCCGTTTTTGCCGAGAATCAGCACAATAACAAAACCATAAATCAATCAGCCAATTAATCGATCAATAATGAGAGGTGAGAAGGCGCCTGCCACCAGCTTCGAAGTTACGTCGCATCTTCGAGGAGCCTCGTGCCTTCTCGCCGCGCAGAGGCACTGTTGGGGGGCAGAGCCTTTCCACCCAGGCGGAGAAACTGCGCCAACCTTTTTCGTGAGGTACAGCTTCCCCAATTTCCAAGTTTCCGCTTCATGTTATGTCTAATTGCCGGGCAGCGGAGTGGATGCGGACTTGCTTCCTCGCACAATTTACGTTCACCGGTCTTCACAGTGTCTGGTTGATGCCCGTGGCATGCCGTGCGGAGGCGGGTCAGTCCGTCATTGCCGTAGTGCTAAAAGCCGCATGTTGGGCAACGAAACTCCACCAGTGGTGATCCCATCGGGATCTCGTCGGCGGGCGACGTACGCTTTTTCGGCGGCCTGATCCTCTACCGTCGTGGAATCGGCAACAATGACCCTGGCATCATCACAAGACTTTCCACGGCGTTGCGAGGGAACTGTTGTTTTTTTATATATCGTGTTGCCCGGTTTCCCAGCAGGGAGTTTGGTGCCCTAATCTTTCTGCTCATTATTTTCATTGCCGCTTCTACAGTCTTCATTTTTGATATTGTTGTTGTTGTTGTTGCTGAACTTCTTTTTATCGGTAATTCTGGTTTTACTTGGGGTGATGGAGGCCAGCTGCAATGTTCACTTTTGGTCCTTTTTTTTCCGTATTGACTGCACACAAATGCTGAGTGTGTGCAGTTTCCTGTAAATAATACGGGAAGAATGATTATTGTTTCTTTCTTTTTCTTTTTCTTTTTTTACCGACTACCTTGCAAGAGAAATGCATCTGTTTGTTCTGGGCCCTCCTGGCAGTGGTAAAACGTCAATCAGCACCGTATTGAAAGAACGCTACGGCGTGTGCCACGTCACTCCCAGTGACGCGGTATCGCACGCGGTGGAATACATTGGATCGGCGTTTGGTGATCAACTGCGCCTCCTTGAAGAGGGGAAGCCCATTCCAGACTGGCTGCTTACGCGTGTTGTTGCGGAGGCAACACGTGGACCGGACTGTAGCAATGGTTTTCTTCTTGATGATTTTCCCAAGACAGCGGAGCAGGCTCGTCTTTTAAATGAAGAGGGGGTAAAACCTGACGCTATCGTACTGCTTAATTTTGCTGACAACCTTTTGATTGAGCGTTTCTGCGGGCGCTGGGTGCACCCTGTCTCTGGTCGTATGTATCACACACTGTACGATCCTCCGAAAGTAAAAGGGCGAGACGATGTTACTGGACAGCCGCTGGTGCAACGCCCAGAGGATAGCGAAGATGCTGTGCGGGAAAGACTTGCAAATTTTCGCCAGAACTTGAATGCCCTTCGCCTTGTATATAGTGATGAACGATTGTGGCATACCGTAGACGGCTATGCAGCGGTAGACACTGTGCAACGTTCCATATGTCGCGTTCTAGATCCTATCCTTGCATCGAGGAAGCGTCGATGGTGGCCACGGTTTCTTTCACATTAGAATAAATCAAACTGCAGGGTACACCCCTTCTTCTTCTTTTTTTTTTTTTTTTTTTTTTTTGAATGGGAACTACGTGAACTACGCATTCCGTTGGAAATTAATTTTATATCCGTTTTGTTGGGTGCGTCATTCTTGATGTTTAGCTCCGGGGACTGTTGATTCTTTTTTCAAGCTTGAGACCTCCCTTCTTTCTTTTTAAAATGTGTTTTGCTTCCGTCCTCAACATTTGCTGTTAAATGGCATCACGAGGGATTACACCCACAAATTGGCTCCTTAAAGAGAAGGAAATGGTGTTTTTTCTGCGCCGAGTAGCCCCCAAAAAGACTTCCGGGAAGGTGGTTGTTTTTGGTGCAACGACGGTGGTGGGTCAACCCCTTTTGCTGCTCTTGAAACTCTGCCCACATGTAAAGGAGATTTGCTGCTGTGGGCCTTTAACAAAGGTGGATCCTGGAGCCAACTTTATCACGGCGCGTGGCGTGGCTGCGGATCTTTCTCACATTGATACCAACACCAGTGTGAAGGCTTTTGAAACTCCATGTGACTGGGAATCAGCACTGCGTGGGGCTCAACTTGTCTTGTTTTGCGCTGGAAGCGTCTTCGATCCGTCCAGGGCTTATCGTGATGTGGCATTGAGGGAATCTGGTCCAGAATTGATGTTGGCCATGGAACTTGTGGCAAAAGCATCCCCAAAGGCCATTATTGGTGTTGTTTCAAGTCCCGTGAATGCGCTTGTACCCATTGCAAGGGAGGTGTTGGTGCGCAACGGTGTGTTTGACCCGCGTAAACTGTTTGGTGTCACGACTCTTGACATCATTAGAACAAGAAGTCTTGTGGCAGATGAGCTTCAAATGAATCCGTACGACTTGAATGTACCGGTTGTAGGTGGTAGAGGAGGTGTGACTGCATGTCCTCTTGTGGCACAGACTGCATTGCAGATTCCCCATGAGCGTATTATCCATGTGTGTAGTCGGGTTCAGTCATATGGATCTCACTCCTCTTACGAGGAAAGTGTGGGTTTTCCTGATTTGTGCAGTGAAGAGGCCGTTTCCACGGAAATCGTGCCACCGGTAGGTTTGTCACTGGCGTACGCCGTTTTGGAGTGGTCTGTGTCGATGCTGAAAGCTCTACGAGGGGACCAAGGTATCATTGAGTGCTCGTTTGTGGAGTCCGCAATGAGAAAAGAGTCACCGTTTTTTAGTTCACGTGTTGAACTTGGCGAGGAGGGTGTCGCGCAGCTGCTGCCAATGGGTCCATTGACTTCGTACGAGACGGAGTTGGTGGAGACTGCGGTGCCATTTATAGCGGAGGATGTTGAGGCGGGGTTGCGCTTTGCAACTAAAAAATCGGAGGCGGACTTGTAGGTGTGACGACAAACTGTATGACACTGTGTGTCGTGTTTTTTTTTTTTTTTTTTTTCACGGGGCCCGTGCATATTTATGTGTATATACATGGGGTGGATTCGGTTGGATGGCGTTCCACGTTCTGTGGAAAAGAAGAAAATGAATGGTCACAATGGTCGTCTGAACCTTATTTAGTTAGTTAGTTATTTTCCATTTGTGTGCGTACTTTTTTGTGTAGCCGCTGTTTTATTTTATTCTTATTATTATTTGGTTGTTGTTGTTGTTGTTGTTGTTGCGCATTGGGGTGGTGGGTCAATAATTTACATTCACAAAGAAATAACAGCAGAAAACAACAATAACAACAACAAAAAAAAGACAATACACAATAAAAAGGAAAAAGAATATATATTTATATATACGAAAATGATGCACAATTCTGCCGCCTGTCTTAGCAAGGTTGCTGTTCTTGGTGCTGCCGGTGGTATTGGCCAGCCCCTTTCTCTTTTATTGAAGAACAATCCTCTGGTGTCGGCACTCAGCTGCTACGACCTTCGTGGTGCGCCTGGCGTGGCGGCGGATCTTTCCCACATCTGTTCTCCCGCCAAGGTGACGGGATACACCAAGGAAGAAATCAACAAGGCCCTTGATGGCGCTGAGCTTGTCTTGATTCCTGCAGGTGTGCCGCGTAAACCGGGCATGACTCGCGACGATCTCTTCAACACAAATGCCTCTATTGTGCGTGACCTTGTCATAACATGCGCCAAGGTCTGCCCCAAGGCGTTTATTGGCGTTGTCTCAAATCCTGTCAACAGCACAGTTCCGATTGCTGCGGAAACTCTCAAGAAGGCTGGTGTGTTTGATCCTGCCCGTTTGTTTGGCGTGACGACACTGGATTTGGTACGTGCCCGAACCTTTGTTGCGGAGGCGGGTGGCAAAAGCCCCTATGACGTTCATGTCCCCGTTGTTGGTGGACACAGCGGGCCAACAATTGTGCCGCTCCTCTCCCAGTCCGGTTTGGAATTGTCGGATAGCCAAGTGAAGGCTATCACGCACCGAGTGCAGTACGGCGGTGACGAGGTGGTTCAGGCCAAGGATGGTGCCGGCTCTGCCACGCTATCAATGGCGTATGCTGGAGCGGAGTGGTCAAATTCCATTCTGAAGGCCCTCCGTGGGGACAGCGGAGTCGTGGAGTACACGTTCATTCAAACAGACGTCTGGCCAAATTTGCCTTACTTCAGCTGCGCAGTGGAAATTGGCAAAAACGGCGTGGTGAAAGCACACAAGACACAGCTCAACAAGTTTGAGGAGAGTCTTATGGAGAAGGCCA